TACCTCCACAAATGACCGTGGGCACAATACCATTCATGCACACATGTATTATAAATGCATAATACATATATGCTTTTAAGCATATAGACAGGATATATATATAGAGACCCACCTTCAACACTTAAAATTTCCAAAGCAAGGTTGAACATTCCATGTTAAAAACTTTACAGGGGACAGGGTTGCTTTATACTGATCTCCCCCCTCACGCTCCCCCAAATCAGGTATCTTATTTCACCAGGCTAGAGCTTTAGAAATCTTCTGGAAAAACAGAACACAAACTACCATGCAATTTCACTTTGATCACATTTCTTCTGCTAGCAGCTTTGCTGGGATTGATAGCAAGCAAACTGTCAGCTCACAGTAAAGAAATATCAGTGCATGCCCGTGCAACACGCCGGGCTTACAAAGCACAGCCCTAGATCCTGCCCTCCACTACAGATGGAGTTCACGGGGGAAAAGGAATAAGGACTCTCTTCTTCCATCTGCCCTGAATGCAGCAGCAAGGCAGGATTCCAACCTAGCACTCAGGAGAGTGCCAAAAAAGGGACTGGCTACTGTGCTGGCTGCCACCCCAGGGCCCCAGGGGTGTGAGGCCCGCCAGCTGTGGGGTGGAGTCGTGCCCCCAGCCAGCTACGGCCTCTGCTTCTGTCTAGCCTGCTGGCTTGGCTCATATAATGATCGTTTTAAGAAAAGCAATATTGTGTAGTTCATCATGTGGTGCAGGTGTTCACCTTCAACTATCCCTGCCCTGTGCTGGCAGAGCAGTTCCTGCAACACGCACAGCCTGTGCTCGCCTGTCTTCCCCACGCCGCAAAGTGCAAGCACCTATAAAATCCTCACGTTAGCTTTATTCTGAAAAAGGTAATTATTAGGAAAGGAAAGCTCTTGCCTGAATACAAGGAGATCAGATTTTTAACTGACCTCCCTCCCATACAAAGATGTGATACAATGCAGCAGACTCGGTACATCTACCAACTAAGAGCAACCTCAGCAGCTCTTAACTTTATTAATGCAGAAAGGAACCTGGGGAAGAATCAAAGGTCTCTGCAGAAAAAAAACCCAGGGACAGTTATAATCAGCAGAAAATTCAGCCCAAGCAAGCTGCTGCTTGTTCACATTGAGGTCACAGTCCCTGCTTAGGTGGGATAAATCCAGTTGGTAGCAGGGTATGGTCCGTGACCCCTTGTGAGTGTAGCGGGAACAGACCCAGGAGTTGTCAGCACCGGGTATTCACTGCGCATGCAGGGATGAAGATGTCCGCCCCCGGGCAGAGTTCTGAGTGCTCCTACTGGACCCTGGGCAGAGACTGCCTGTGCACGCTGCTCAGCCTGGAGCTGACTAGGAAGGACTCAGATGATCAACCTGTCCCAGTGATGCAAAAGTGTGGAGAGAAGGGAAGGACTAAAATTCCAGCTGAAGGGAATAACAAACTGTTAGGGGCAAGAATTTCTTCAGCTGTTCCCCAAGTCCCTGTGGAACCACAAGCATTTGACCTTGGTAGATTCAGACAGGGTAGGGCTGTCGTACCCTTGAAGACTCAATTTCACTAAGATGTAGTGTTGAACTAGTGGATGAGAGATAGATGGAGATGGGGATTTTAACTGCCAAAATGAATTTTTTCCTCCTAGGAGAGGAAAGAGTTTCATTCCCCGAAAAATAAATTCCCCAGGTTTAAACAACATTAAAGGCGTGATATTTTTTATTTTTATCTGGACATACATATTTGAGGAGGTTCTAATAAACATACAATTTCCTCTGACTTTTATTCAAAGGCACGAGCAATCTCTCCTTTTTAAAACTCAAAAATTTGTTTGGTTTGCTATAATGCAATAAAACTTCAGGCAGGAGAATCTATTATTCAGTCCTTTTAAAATAGTTCATAAAAATATGTATTAAAGGACTATGAAGTAAGTTACAGACTACTAAATAGTATGTTGACATCTCCAAACATCCCCTGTAGTAGAATCTCACTGCTGCCAAACAACTACTGATTATTCTTCAAACAATCCCACCCAGAAGAGGAAACACGTGCATAGAAAAATTAAGGGATCTGTCTAGTACCACAAAGCAAGACAGTGGCCAAGCTGATAATAAAACCTTGGTATCACAACTCCATTCTGGAGCTGAACAATAAATTCAGCCTTTTTCCAGAGATGTCATACAACAAAGTTGTCCCAAATCCTAAAGCAAGATTCATATACTTAGACAAAACAAAGGTTTAGCCATTTCACGTTCTCTTTTCCCTGTTTTCATATTAGTTGCTAGTGATTTTGGACTTTACATGCAATACATATATTAATCTGATCAAAGCAGAGGAATGCAATTTACCCTTACAGGTGCAGCTGTATACAAACTATGTTCACTTGGGGAGAGCTTGTTCTTGCCACATCTTTGCAGCTAAGCTGGGACTACACTGGGCTTTTATCCCATTTGGAGCAACAGATCCCACATACATAACCACATTATTTGTCATGTAATTCTTTGACCTGGAAGTAATCATAATTTTCCTCTGCAAAGAGTGAGCTACAGCCAGTCACAGGATCTGAATTTTTTACTGCTAGGCAACATCTTTTCTGCTCTTGTCAAAATAAAATTAGAAAAAAATGTAAATGCTTCACTGAGCTACAAACAATGAAAAGAGGTGTTCTGCCTGCCATCAAACCTCACTGTTAAAATATTAACACAATGTAAATATTGTAATATTGAGGAAGTACACTGTGTCAGTACTTCCTGGCACCGCACAAGAGCTTCACTGTTCGTTTCAGTCCCTGCTGTTAGTTTTAAACACATAGAACTTAAACAAGGCATCTGAGCTTCTCCAGTCCTGGTGCAGAATTGCAGAGAGGCAAAATCTTACTGTAGGTTCTCTCTAGACTAAAAAACAAAGTATTAAAAAGAATCCTTAAACCCAAACAATTATGTAGATGTCAGTACTTTTGAGGTAAAAATATTCCACAGGGTCCTTCAGAAGTCCTGGCATATTGCTGCCAAACATGGAAAGGTCGTTGGGTATGCACTGTCTTCCCTTTCCTCAGAGATGAAAAATTCAAGCTGCAAACACCCACCAATGCCAGGAGCCTGAAAGCACAAGTTACTCCTCTATTATGGCAATTACTCTATTATGGCAAAAGTCCCATTCCCCAGATTTGCCAGTTAAGCACATTACTTGCAATTGACTCAATAAGCAGCATGTGTGTAATAAAGAGAATGAAGCAGCTACCTGCCATTAGTAAGCCAGATGTTGCTATCAGGTCTTAAGAAACGCTGTCTAGCTGCTGTAATTGTCTGTGTGTCATGGAAGTGTCACAGAAAAGAAACAAAGCTTCATAAAATAGTGAAGACGGAGAATGACCTCTCTACAGAAAACAAAAAAACCCCAATTGGTCATACTTGCAAGCAGTCAGTAGACTTGTTCTAGGGGGACCTGGGGGCAACTGCAGAAGTTCAGAGCAGGATTTCACTCTGCTGACTTTGTTTAATACAAGGTAAAATTCCGCCACTGACAAAACCAAAGATCTTACCAGTTTCAATGGAAATAGCATAAAGCCTTGAAAACTGAAGTTACCACTATTTACACTTAGAGGCCTCATTGTGTCACGCACTGTGGCATGTCTGACAAAGACCGTCCTTGTCCCACAGACCTAATGATCTAAATTCAAAACAGCATGAAATACCAGGGAAAAAGAACCAAATGTGTGAAATGTCTAATATTCCAGAAATATCTAATCCCAGCAAACTAGATGGCTAGGATTTCAAGAAATGAGTCCTACATGTTGTATTATGACAAAAGAAAGGCGTAAACACTGCTTCATGCTACCACAGGAAATACAAGAAGTCCAAACTCTCACGAACTTTCTAAAATACACTGAATAAATGGCTTATTCCAGATTTAAAGCATCTGCTGCTCCTGAAGCCTTCTCACCTTTCAGACACGTTCCCATACACAAATGGGAACCAAAAAAAACTTGTGCAATGCCCCCATGTGCCAGTCAAAGTATTGGATAAGCTTTATTCTTATGCATGGTAAGAAATTGCCCTGGGGGTTAAAATTAAGTGGAAAATCTGTGTTAATTCACTCACAGAACCTTATTCTGGAAAAGCTCCTTCAATTGTGTATCCAACTGCATCACCAGATTTGTACATGGTCAGGACTAACACAGATTCCCCCACCCCCATGTTTTTTCACATGTCAGTTTATCTGCTAAGAAAAACCACTATGAACACAACACTTAGCTCCTTTATCTTTCATCTTACTTAAAAGGGGAGACGAACTCTTGAGAACTCAGCGAGCATTCAATATATGTAATGGGCATGAGAGCACTACAAAAAGTCTAGGAACAGGACATCATTCCAAAACTGAACTACTTACTGTGAGGGGAGGGTGTTCATTTGTTTGTTTTTTTAAAGATAAACAGGATTTTTTTTTTGTCTGTTTCATGAAATATTATAGCTAAGATCCTTCTCCACTTCCATAAATGGATGTTTTTCTTACTCTCAGTGGGTGGTCTCAGAGTTTTGACAGAGGAACATCACAAGCTAAAAGCATAGGATGCTACAGAGATAGCCCACCTGCAGTGGTGGTAGATGTGAAGGGGGAGAGAAAAGGTGATTGCAAAGGCCAAAACAGACTGTGGTGGGGGAAATCAAAGGTCATAAATGTATTCACAGCCCTAACAATGGGGGAGCCCTAGTGAAATGAGCAGCAAAAAGCACAGATACATTAGGAAAACAAGGGATGCAGAAAAGAGGCAAAAACTTTAGCTTTCACTTATGCTGTTATTAGATTGTTTTTTTTTAAAGAGGTCTGAATAAAGAAACTCAGCCATAATGCCTGGCATTCTTTTTAGTGTAGTTAAAGCATTTTGAAAACTGGTTTTGTTTACATTTCTATTTTATGCTAGCCAATTTAATGAAACAAATCTTCCTTTAAAAGCTCTGGTACAAACCCATATGCCAACGCAAACACCTGCTACTACTTTGTGTATTGCTTGGTTTCTTACTTGTTTTCTACAAGGAAGTCAACCACATATTTCTTCAGACAGTAGAGGTGGGCATCCATCAGCCCTGTTCTGATGTGCATTCGGGGGTGCCTGAAAAGAAAAAAAAAGGAAAATCATGGAGCTTTGCATGGCCATTTACAAGTGCTTGACTTTGCAATGAAGTTGTTGGAGAGTGAAAAGCATGCAAAGGCAGATCTGTTCCTTTCCATCTACTGGATTTACAGAGGAGAACAGTGCAGGCTGCCATTATTAGCCTGTGTCTATAAACTTACACCTGCTGGCCCTGGGCTGATTTGCTGCGAAAGAAAACACCTCCTCCAAGGAGTCATTACTCCTGCTACATCTTCTTATGTAAGTGGAAATTGCACATTACTGGGCAGGAAGCCAAAGTAATGGGCCCAGAGTGCTAAAAGTTACAGTGGGTAATGTCAGGGTACAATAATTCAAAGCTTCTGGCTAAGTGCCTGCTTTAATATGCAAGGCTGTGCATGTTCTGCTAGCAAACACGACACTACTGTATTTTTTCCAACACTTCCTGGAGGGAAATAGGAGAAGATGGGATCTGCTCACCTTTCCTACACTACATATTACAAATGACTGCCACAGCTCAGTTACAAAATGTTTGCCTATCTTGCCCGGTAAGATTGAAAAGACCAGTAAAACTCCCTCTCATCATTAGCCAAACAATGGCAAACAGGGAAGTCTTCACTTTCAGACCACTGGCAGGTTAATATTTCAGAAACTCAGAAATCTCCAATAGTTTCAATATTTTAAGAACAAAGTTTTAAATCAGACTCATCGATTACTTCTATTGCTTCTCTTTATGCATTCTCTGCTCTTAGTGGAAACCCTTTTTGCAGCCTGTCTCAAAGCAGTTAGATATTTTATCTATCCCCTTCTACACACCTGTAGCCTCATTTAAGAGTGTTCTGGCTGTCTGAACACTCACCATTTGTTCTCAAGACAGAAAAGCCACAAGAATATTTAGCTTGCAATTTAAAAAAGACAAAACACAACAGTCAGGGACTACTCTGGGCTGTTCAAGTGACCTGTAACTGCACTTACAGTCCAGAGGCTGTCAAGGAGAGAAATTTCAATCCACACCTGAAATTGTCTCTGTTTTCATTTTTCCTCCTTTGAGGACTGGATTTCATAATGAAGTTTGAAAGAACACATCTTATCAGTATATTCCATCCAACCTTTTTTCGCGTATTCCATAACACCCTGAAGTACAGATGTTTGTGATCATGATCACTTATTTTGTTAGCTCAGCACCGGTATCACTCACAACTTGGGTGCATATATACATATATATGTAGTAAACCAATACTAGCACACCAAATATTTAGTAACATCAGTGCTACCAAGAATATCAGGTGTTCTAGCAAACCATTTTTCAGTGTATTTCTCAATTAATGCATTGAACCACCAAAGTATTTAAGTCTTACAAGTTTGTAATTTAGGTGGCATTTCTCTAACATGCCATTCAATTCAAGGTAAGCATATTATTAACTATAACAAAATTCTTTAAGTCCCAATTGCAATGGAAAGCTTCTATAATAGTAGTATGACACTTTGCAGTAAAGTATGTGGTACTAAAAAGTGATATATGCACTTTTAGTAGATTACTTCATTAACAAAACATGAGCTCACCTAGCAATGCTCCAGTACTGATGTTATCAGTGGCCCAGATGTTGCTGTGGAAGTCAGCCCAAATAGCAATGTTCCTTATGCAAAGAGGATAGGGAATCCACTAATTTCAGTGAGGTCTGGCATTTGGAAGTCAGCAGATTCGATTCTCTCCTGCTCTCCCATCCTGAGGGATGGTTTCCACATTTTGTGTATTTAAGAGAGAGGGAGAATTTTCATATCTTCTCTAAGAAAAAGAGCTCCCTTGTATTTATATAATGAATATAATAGTTTATTGAAATGGGTGGAAGAGACAAATGGAAAGAAATTGAGCAGGAAGGAAAGCTGGGAAAACAAACAAAACAATGGAACAAGGCAAGAAACATGCAAAAAAAAAAACCAGAAGTGGATGCAACATGGGCAGAAGATGGAAAAATAGGAGGAAAAAAACAATTCTTAACTTGAAGATGACAAACAGGACACAGTTCCTCTAGTGCCAGAATGCCACGTTCTTCTCTCTCTATTCAAGATCTATCGTAACCCCCCTTAAACACAAGGCAGGGGAAGGCTGCAAGGGCTAGACATCAAGCAGAGGAGTGTAAAACAGGAACTCCTCTGTATAGGCTGGTTCTGTTGCCAGTGTCTGTGTGGCTTTCACATATCCAGTTTCCCCACCTGCAAACTGGAATAGCACTATTTAGCTACACTGCAGGATACTGAGGATTTGTGGGCTGAAGTTTGTATCTGCACGCCAGTATTGTACCAAGTTTATAACAGAGTTGCTTAGCTACAGAAAAAGTTATAAAAAATCAGTTCAAGTGGACAGACAGTAGCACAGGGCTATCCTAGCTGCAGCTCCATCACACACACACAAAAAGCCAAAACAAACGGCCAGATGACAAAATGTACTGAAACGCCACTCTGAGTTAGCTTTCAATGTAGAATGTACTAACAATAACAGAACATCATGCTGGACAAGAGGGAGGTCCCACAGTGAAAATCCTCTGAAATACAGACCACCTAAGTGATTTGCAACAGAATAGTTCCATAGATTAATATTATAATCACAGCTTCAAAGGTCAAACAGGCAAGTCTGGGCACATGCATAAACAAAGTTGTGATTTCTGTAAACCAGACTCCAGGAGAGAATAGCCACACTAAACCAGACTGATAAGAGCACTCTATCATAACAAGCCACTATAAGATGATGCTCATTTTCATTGACTAGTGCTTAAACCAGTTTATCTTCAGGTAAAAGCAAGGGAGCCAAATAATCTAACAGATAACAGCAAACTCCATCACCATTTCAAATGAGCATCTGGTTACCAATATCGAAAGCCCCACTCCCTTCTCTTACCTCTGATCTCCCATTCCATCAGCTAATCTTTACAACATATGAAAAATGAGCCCGTCATGAGGAACAGCTGATACAGAGAGAATCGAATAACAAACAATGCATGTGCCAAGAGCTGACACACCTAGACTTATCACTCTGAGGGAGATAATACAGAAGGCTTTTAATTATATCATCAAAGCAAGGGAGAAGTTACTAGGAAGGGCTGGCTGCAGATGGTTAAGTGTTAATGAATGCCGGGTTGGGGGGTTTATCAAGAGAAAGACAGGTTATATATCTGAGAGGGTCACTGTTGAGATGAAAGTTATAACAGCCATTGTTGGAGCTCTTTAATGAGCGAGGAATGTCAAATGTGAATCCTCTAAGAATCATACCAATTACTAAATGAACTTTGGTTCAATCTAGCAAAGGTAATCAAGCACAAGTCATTAAGATACATTGTAAAACTCCCATTGGCGCTGACACTATAGTGTCTATTATTGTCTGTGCTCCCATGCAAGGGAGGGGGCTGCTCCCAGTTGTAAGCTCTGTATGTTATGTTAAGTGATGGCAGATTTTAGCCCTAATGATGAGGCGTGGAGGGCTCCCTGGCAGAAAAATCGACAATGAGGAGGCTCGGAGAGATCTGTGGAGAAGTCGGGGAAAGATCAGCAATTAAAAGAGCAATTTCAAAGAATGCAATTTAACGTGTAAAATTAGCTTTTATTAGCACATAATTCCACAAAATCCTGACTCGGGATGAGGGTGCATAAAGGTTTGCAAGAGTCCTTAGAAAGGTCTGTGCCCGTTAATTCCTGACACGCCATTGTGAAATAATAAGCAGTACTAACAGGATTGATGCATGCTTCGTACATGGCATCGCTTTGAAAGTGGAGCCCGGAGCTTTTCTCTCCCCGATAACCTCTCTCAGGATTTCCTCCCTCAGGGAAATCAACCACTGATAGAGCAAACTTCCCTTGTTTAAAGGCAAAAAGACGGACAATTGTTTCAACTGTAAACTAATTAAGAGAGATTACCACCAAGAGCTGGAGGTTCAAACCAGCCCCGCACTCCCACTGACAGTCTGATAATGCCAGACTGGGGTCAAAATCATAAATCTGAAGGGAGCACACACAATGCTTAAAGCCAAAAAGCCTCTCTACTAAGCATGGGATATTGCCACATTAACCTCACCACCTCACAAATAAACTAGCTGAGAAGGAAAAA